TTTAGAAGTTGTGTATCCTACTATATTGTCAATAAGTGAAATTGTGTTGTATATAAGTCTTTTATTTAGAAGTTAACTAAAGCTTGTTGGTATATCTCATTTGTCCTTAGCTTTGTTTTAAAGTAATATTAATAAATATGCTTGGATTTTGTAATATTTAAAATAGTTATTATATAATTATATTCAAATACAATTCATCAGTTAGAGTATAAAACTATTATAATTATCTTATATAAAATTTCCTTCATTATATTTTATAGTTTATAAATATTAAAAGTAATAAATAAAACATTATTAATCTTTCTATAATTTCTAGAATTAGTTTCCATAAATTGTTATTTGTAATATTCTTTAGATTATATGGCAAGTGATTTTAAATGATTTTAGACTTACCTTAAATATTTAGATCTAAATTAAATAAATAAAAATTAAGAACAATCGAACAATCAAATTATAACAATTTCTTGAAACTTCACCTATGAGCGACACGTCACCAGAAATAACTAAAGTGACTTCTCATTTAATATATAAGAGGATTTGAAGAGTCCTTTCATGCACGTAATAAAAAATCACTCATGTTATTTCTCAATCAATATATAGTAGGTTTAATCTTTTATAAATAATTTATAACATTTTATAACTTATTTTAAAATTCATATAAATTTATTCTTTAAAAACGCTAAATAATTTTAAAATAATATTAATAAATATGCTTAGATTTTGTAATATTTAAAATTTTTATTATATAATTATATTCAAATACAATTCATCAGTTAGAGTATAAAACTGTTATAATTATCTTATATAAAATTTCCTTCATTATATTTTATAGTTTATAAATATTAAAAGTAATAAATAAAACATTATTAATCTTTCTATAATTTCGAGAATTAGTTTCCATAAAATGTTATTTGTAATATTCTTTAGATGATATGGCAAGTGATGTTATAAAATGTTATTTGTAATATTCTTTAGATTATATGGCAAGTGATGTTAAATGATTTTAGACTTACCTTAAATATTTAGATCTAAATTAAATAAATAAAAATTAAGAACAATCGAACAATCAAATTATAACAATTTCTTGAAACTTCACCTATGAGCGACACGTCACCAAAAATCACTAAAGTGACTTCTCATTTAATATATAGGAGGATTTGAAGATTCCCTTCATGAACGTAATAAAAAATCACTCATGTTATTTCTCAATCAATATATAGTAGGTTTTCTCTTTTATAAATAATTTATAACATTTTATAACTTATTTTAAAATTCAGATAAATTTATTCTTTAAAAAACGCTAAATAATTTTAAAATAATATTTATAAATATGCTTGGATTTTGTAATATTTAAATTTTTTATTATATAATTATATTCAATTACAATTCATTAGTTAGAGTATAAAACTATTATAATTATCTTATATAAAATTTCCTTCATTATATTTTATAGTTTATAAATATTAAAAGTAATAAATAAAACATTATTAATCTTTCTATAATTTCTAGAATTAGTTTCCATAAAATGTTATTTGTAATATTCTTTAGATTATATGGCAAGTGATGTTAAATGATTTTAGACTTACCTTAAATATTTAGATCTAAATAAATAAATAAAAATTAAGAACAATCGACCAATCAAATTATAACAATTTCTTGAAACTTCACCTATGAGCGACACGTCGCCAGAAATCACTAAAGTGGCTTCTCATTTAATATATAGGAGGATTTGAAGAGTTCCTTCATGCACGTAATAAAAAATCACTCATGTTATTTCTCAATCAATATATAGTAGGTTTTCTCTTTTATAAATAATTTATAACATTTTATAACTTATTTTAAAATTCAGATAAATTTATTCTTAAAAAAACGCTAAATAATTTTAAAATAATATTAATAAATATGCTTGGATTTTGTAATATTTAAAATTGTTATTATATAATTATATTCAAATACAATTCATCAGTTAGTATATTAACCAATTATTATAATTATCTTATATAAAATTTCCTTCATTATATTTTATACTTTATAAATATTAAAAGTAATAAATAAAACATTATTAATCTTTCTATAATTTCGAGAATTAGTTTCCATAAAATGTTATTTGTAATATTCTTTAGATTATATGGCAAGTGATGTTAAATGATTTTAGACTTACCTTAAATATTTAGATCTAAATTAAATAAATAAAAATTAAGAACAATCGACCAATCAAATTATAACAATTTCTTGAAACTTCACCTATGAGCGACACGTTACCAGAAATCACTAAAGTGACTTCTCATTTAATATATAGGAGGACTATAAATATTATATAATATATGTATTAATTAAGAGAAATTTATATATATATATATATATAGATAAATTTTTTTAATATAATATATAATTTATCTAATATGTTAGTTAGAGTATATATAAAATCATTTATTATTATTACTAATATATTTGCTGGGTCATGAAGATATATTAAAAATTGAGTAGATTACATATATATAAATTTCTTCTAATAGTTATGAAAGAATTTTTTTTTTTTTGGAAAATATATAGCCTGTAAATATCCATCCATACCCAAAAACTGAACTTAAGACAAATATTTTTTAATTATCAAAAGAAAATGTAACTAAAAACATATATTTTTATAGAATGATAAAATTATCAGTTTTGTAGGCCATCAAGAAAATGTTTTGTGGTATATATTCTATATTTTTATGAGTTTCACATTGCTAGAAATTGTTAAATTATATTCTTTTATTTTTATAAAAAATCGATAAAACTAATTAAAAGATGAGCATTACTCACATTAATCATCTTTACCGTCTAAAAAACCCTTACTTTTTAAGTTAGTCTAATTAAATATTTTAATAATCTGTATCCTGCAAGAAATGAAGTATTTTATAAAATATTCACTAAATAATTTTTTTTAAAAAAAAATATTAAAATAACAAAATATATATGATGATTTATTTACATTAAAACTATAACCAAATTTAAACTGATTAAACAATTTTGAAATTAAAATATTTATATATATGGTATATGGTATATAATTTATTTAAATAATATTAAAATATAATTATATTTTTAATATAGATATGTATTAATAGAAGTTTATATAGTCATATATGGTTTTATGATTATCTCTATATTATTATCTTCATTTTCTATATCACTCATCAAAAATTTTTAAAGTAGAAAACAGGTTTTGAAATTTATAATTATCTTTATCGTCATATGGCTGGAGAATCATGGTTTTTGAAAAGGTGTGATCAGAATCATCTATTTCAGTATGGAATGATTTATGGTTCTCAACTACTCGCTTGAGACTAGCAAATAAAAATCAACATAATCTTTATTCGAACTTTACAGTTAATTTTCTCATCAATATTGAGTCACGTAGTTGGAACTTGTATGCAATTCGGTCTTTGGTGGATCCTGAAAGCATTCCGCTGAGCAATTAACTTGTATGGAAAATAGGGATAAATGACATTTTACTAAGATTGCAAAATACACCGTGAAATCTGGATACCAGATAGAACGAATATATTGGATATCGAGAAACCGCCAGTACTTTTGAGGCCTACAGTTGATGTATTAAAAGCACATTACTGGAAGGTACAATGTCTTGTAAAGATAAATATTTCTTATGGTAATTGTTATCAGGATGTATAGCCGTTAAGAGAAACTTGAGAGCGAGAGGAATATAATGGGATATGTGTTACGACCGTTGTAGAGCTGGAGAGGATACGATCAATCATGTTTTTTTTTTATGTCCACAGGCATATCAGATATGTGCATTATAAAAAATATTATCTAACCCGGTTACTTTTTTAACTGGTTCTCTATTTACAAATAAGAATCATTTATTCTGGAGAATCCTCCCAAAAATGGAAGATCATTAATTTACATAGATATTGTGGTATATTTAGAAATGGAGAAATAATAAGATTTTTAGTAATTTGGATATGGATCCCAGAAATATACTTAAATTAGTGTAAACAAAATCAATCTTTTGGGCTGAAGCCCAGGTGATACATCCACAAAGAGCACCCAACAAGTGGAGGATACGAACATACCATCAATACCAGGGTGTTGGTATTTTATAGATGGATCGTGGAAGGATTAAGAGATTTTCTCTGGGAAAAGTGGTATTGTACGCTGTAAGACTTTGATGTACTGATGGGGACAAGAAATGTTAGGGCTAGTCTGTCGCCTCTTCTTCTGAAGAAGAAGCGCTAATTTAGACAATGGAATGTATGAAGAATTTGCGTCAATTTCAAGTAATTTTTGCAATCGACGGTTCTTAATTGGTGAAGATGATGTCGAAACTAGAAGAATGGCCCGCTTTTACAACATATATGGAGGATTTCAAGATACTAAAAAAAAGCTTCCTCAGCTTCGAGATTGTCTATATACCATGAATGTAGAACTTCAGGACAAATAAACAATCGTCTTTCATCGTTCACATGTATGTAGAATTATCATTTTGGTTTGCAAAGTTAATATAAGCATGTTTATGTTGCTGTAAAAAAAATTATCTTTAAAATTCAATATATATATATATATATATCAAATTTTGTATATAATTATTTCGATTATGTAATTTATTAGAAAATTATAAAATACAACAAAATGATAAAATTTATAAATCTGATTTCTATTATTTAATAGCATTAATTATTATAATATATTTTGTAGATTATTAATTAGTTTTATTGTTAGTTTAATGATATAAGTATAAATATAATTGAACTAAATAATGAAGGGAATGATGAATAACATGTGTTACAATTATTCTAATAGTTTAATTATATTTTGATAATGATTCTACAAAATAATTTACGGTTAAAATCATTTTCAATTAATATATAAAAAATCAAAACCATTCAGAACTTTTTGATAAAGAAAATAATGGAAAAATGAACTGTGTCGTTGACTCTTTGGTAAGTGTGAACTGAAAAGTACATTTACAGTGGAAGCACAGAGATAGAACGAACCAAAACCTCACTCTCTTGATAGAACGAACGGTCTTCACTTTCACTGTCTGCATCTCCCACATCTTCTTCTCCTTCTCCTTTTCACTTGTCTCAAAAGTTTCTTTCCATTTCCTCTTTAAATCACCTCAAGATGCCGATCAACAAAGACCCATCAACACCTCCGCCTGTCATCGGAAAAATCGGGCCTTACACTGTCTTCATGACTCCTCCGGCGACTCCAAAACCACCTGAATCTCCTGCCGCCGTCTCTCAGAAACCCATGGTTCCGCCGCCAGTTCTTCCTCCGCCCCAGCAGTTTAAATCGGTGGCTTCCTCTGAACAAAACGGCTCGGTTTTGGGGTTCCTCAAAAACGCCGCCACAAAGGTTCAGAATGGTAAGAAACGAGAAAAATCTGATAAGTTTTTTTCGGATCTTTGCTTTGTGTTTAGAGGTTGCCTTTCCGCTTCTTGATTATTGATCTAAATGTTCTATATTTGGAAAGTAGATTCTATATACTGTTTCTGTGGTTTGCGATTATTGCTAATGTACTATATGAATTGTGGATTTCCCTACTATTTATGTGAATTGGTCCTCAGAAACAATTAAAAGATTGTAATTTTGACATTCTTGTTTGTTTAATGGTGCCACAGCACATTCAAGCGTGGATGATCATTTGGTGAGATGGTTTGGGTTGAACCAATCTAAGTACCAGTGGGCTTTAGACGAGTATTACGAAGGCAAAGCGTCTGTAAGTGTTCCTTCATCTTTTCACAGATTGGCGTTTGTTGTTTTATTTAGATTATTGGTATGTATATTCGCTTTGTTTCAGTTATCTCTAATGTACATTTTGGGTAAGCTTTGTAGTTTGTAGCAAAGCTAGTATAAAGGATTGTTTTTGCTCTTTACAGCTTCTTTTGCATCTAAGATAATGACCACAACTATGAAAACATATCTTTCTCAGCGTGATCTTCACCCTTTGGTGAATAATAAAACTGGCGATTGGTAGTCAAAACGTGTCTTTAATTAGTTTTGGACTTACTCTACTTTAGTCATTGGTTTAGTGCATGTGTTACTCAAAAGCATATTTTGTGGTTAACATGCATCTTTTATCTTCTTTTACACATAAACACAGGAAGTGAAGAGCGTGAAAGCAAAGGAGATGCCAGGGAAAGTTCAAAACGATTAAGCGACCATATATACATCCCCACTTGTTGTCGCTTTCGCCAATCTCCCAAACCTGTTTTCCTGAGAGAGCTAAAAAAAGAAAAGCTGGAGTCTTGATGAAAGTTTTCTTCGATCATTGAATTTATTTAACCTTGGAGATATCTTTGGTATAATTGAGAAACTATTGTAGTTCTTCTTGTGATTTGTTGTAAGATTAATATATATAGATGATGTCTCAGTTCAAAACAGTTTAGCAAGTAACTATTTACTAAGTTAAAACAAAAAGTACGATCGTACATTGCCACGACTGGTTTCTAAGAGAAAGCAGTGCTGGGCAAAAAAATACTTGAACCCAAATTGTTCACCAGCTATTTTCTGATAAGGGAACCAAGATGATGGAATATGGAACTACTAGATAACTAAGTTAGGAGGACTATGTCGGTCCAACATTTTCATTTTTCATTTTATGTCCTATGCTCACTTAAAATTTTGGTCTTTATTATTCATGAAATTTTTTTATGAAACCCTATACAACTAAAATTATCGTTTAAAATTGTTATGTTCTAAACGGTCGGTTACTTTGTCAATGTTAGACTCATCATCGGATGATTATTGCTGGAACTTCATGAAGAATGATATATATACTGTTTTTTTGGTTACAGGTATGTATACTGTTAAGTCTTGGTATTAGGTGGATACAAATTTGCTCAACAAAGAGACTGAGGAGATGTATTCAAAGCTGACACTGTAAAACTCCAAAGGTGAAAGATCAGAGCCCCATCTTATATAGCACACTATTTCAAGATAACTAACTAACGGTAACTAGTAATTTTAAACATCATCGTATATGCAATGTTGCAATCATTATCCCAAATGTGGAGCAGAGAATAAACAATTAAACATGGTCTCTGGCAGCAACACCATCTTCATCTTTGACATTCCCTAATTCAAGTCGTTACACAAATATAAATTATCTTTTCGACAAAAAAACAACATTAGAGATCTAAAATTGGGCAAATACCATACTTTTAAATAATCTGGTATATTTGGAAAGCGTGAACCGATAAGATTCAAAATAATAAACATGGACTCTTTTAAAATTGTTACACAAGCAAGTTATAATGCACGCTTAGTATGAAGCTAATATTACAAAGAATGAAATATCTGAGGATTGACAATCTCATGGTCACATCGTATAAATGATTGATGGCTCATGGACATGTACTTTTAGTGGTTATGGATATACATGGAATAATTTCATAGGGGAAATCCAGCTTTACGAGAGCCAGAAACCAAAAGAGAAGAGTTTCATTCTTACATGCAGAACTTGAGGCGCTTTCTTAGACTATAGAATGCATCCTACAACTATCGATGTGTCAACTATTTGGCACCGATGGTAAGGACCAAATCACGAAGATTCAAGATCCAAGAGCATGGGGAAACTTTCGGCTGAACTAAAGGAGCTCCCAAGATTAGAGAGTATATTTACTGATTTCTCTATTGTGTTTCTTTCTCCTTGTTAGAATGTTGATTCCGATTCATTAGCTAAGATAGCAAGAATTTCATAGGGAGTTGCACAACATTTATTGTTTTATTTTGGTATGTTTTCCAGACCACCTCAAATTTGAGTAATATAACGACCATTTGGTGTAAAAAACTAAAAAAAAAATTTCATCTAATTTTTTTAAATTTTCTCTTTTCTATCATACAATCGCGATCTCAAGAAGCTTACAAACACCAACATCCACCAATGGGACAGTCACGGTCTCACCCACACCAATTGGGCTCAACAACAATATGACTAATATGACAAAGCTCACATCTTCCAATTTCCTCATGTGGAACCATCAAGTACACGCTTTGCTTTACTCTATGAATACAATCTCGTAAGCTATATTGATGGCTCTCCAATCGTCCTTCCGACCACGATCACTATAGATACAAAAATAGCTCTTAAACCTGCATTCACTTCGTTGAAACACCAAAACAAACTCATATACAGTGGTCTCCTAGCTAGACGCCATCACAACATCCATTCAACCGATCATGTCGACAACAAACACGTCTGCAGAGATCTGGTTTATACTCACCTTCACCTAAGCCAAACCGAGCAGCAGATCGAACAGTTAAGGCAACAATTGGACAACTGGTCTAAAGGCAGCAGCAAGTCAATCAACAAGTACTTTCAAGGTCTGAACACAAGGTTTGATCAACTTGCTCTCCTTGGTAAGCCGATGGATCATGAAGACCAGATCGAGCTAGTTCTAGGTTGTCTCCCAGATGAATACAAGACGATAGTAGATCAGACTGAAAGTCGGATACAACATACGTCACCATCACTAGCTGAGCTTCATGAAAAGTTGATAAATAAGGAAGCCAAGCTCAATCTGCCAGCATTCCAGTGCCTTATGCCCTTGTCACGGCACACTACACCAAGTACAAAAGATCACACAAAAACAAGTCAAACAACTCACGACAAGGAGGATATCATGGAAATCAGACATGGCAACAACAACAACAACAATCCAACTCTCCTTCTCACTACAACTCGCAGGAGAACACACTGCGAGGTTACCAAGGACGTTTCCAACTTTGTTTTGTGTTTGGACACAATGCACGCCGATGCACTCAAATCCAAACATTAAAAGGATTGTCTGCAACTCAAAACCAGTTCTTATCTATGTCTCAGCCATGGAAACCAAGTGCTAACTTTGTTACAACCTCACCATACAACATGAGTCCATAGCTACTTGGCAATGGGGTGACTTATTATTCGACGTCTGGTCTCAAAAATTTTGCACTTCAAACCCTACGATGGGGCGAAGAAGTAGCAATCACAAAGGGCTCTACAATGTCGATCACACACACGGGTTCTATGTTTATCCCTACATCATCTATAACTCTCAAACTATATGATATCTTATGTGTTCCTAATGTCAACAATAATCTTATCTTTGTGTATCGTCTCTGCAATGCTAATAAGTTCTCTGTTGACTTCTTTCCTACTCATTTTTAGGTGAAGGAACTCATCTCGAGGGATCAACCGTTTCAAGTCAAACTAAGGAGATTTGTATGAGTGGACCAAGCCTAACCTAAACCCATCAGCTTACGCAACCTACGCTGATACGAAAGCAACTTTGATTAGTGGCATAATTGGCTTGGCCACCCATCTTTATCTACTCTTAAGTCTCGTATTTAGAAACTATGTGGTGAGTTCGTTGACTCACTAGTGGAGAAAGAGCAACTGTAATTTTAGAGGCTTTACACAAACTCAGCCACATAAAAGGTTTATACAAAAGAGTGAGCAAAAAAATATTTGGATTAAAGGAAACCTTGTAGTTTTTTGCTGTGAGAGTTGGTCCGGTTTATGTTGTTGCTTACCATATTTGGGATCAAAATACTGGATTCTAACAAGTGTACCTGGTTTGACTGAACAAAATAGATTTGAAAACTGAATTTGAGTTGTGTCATGTGTGGTTATTGAGTTGGGTCATGTGTGGTTATTGACTTATTGTCGTAATGGGGTTTATAACTAAAGATCACATATCTTCAATTGAGTGTTGAAAGCTCCAATAGCAACCTCTAGCTTAAGGGAAGTTCAGCTAGTGTAAACGTTTTCTTTGCCGTAAGTTTGCCCTAAAGTTCCTTACCTTCATTGATTATTAATGTGCCATAACTATAATAACAACAAGCGGGGATAGCTCAGTTGGGAGAGCGTCAGACTGAAGATCTGAAGGTCGCGTGTTCGATCCACGCTCACCGCAAATTACTGTTTTTAAATATCTTCCAAAAACAAACCTTAACTTTCAATCATTTAAATATCTTCCAAAAACAAACCTTAACTTTCAATCATTACATTTCTCAATCTTTCAATCGTGTTCGATCGACGCTCACCGCAAATTACCGTTTTTAAATATCTTCCAAAAACAAACCTTAACTTTCAATCATTTAAATATCTTCCAAAAACAAACCTTAACTTTCAATCATTACATTTCTCAATCTTCAAGCATCTAAAACGTATTAAGACTTGAGGAAAGATTCAAAAAAGTTTAAGAACTTCCAAAACAGATACGCTCTTGATCTCTTTCACTCTTTGTAAACTCATGTAGCAAATTACTGGATTCTAAATTTCTAATATGGCCGAAATGTAGGGGTCACACATTTTAAGTGTTCAGAACTTCCAAAACTCCGAGAGCGGTCCACAGATTCTCTCTAGTGTTCCATTCACATCTAAAGTGACGTGCGACCTACTTGTCAAAAGAGCAAAAACAAACCATTCATCAAATTCTTGTTACATGCAATTTGTTCTAACAAAAGTTGAATCCTTTCTAAATAAATCTACTTCCAATCAATGCCGCTGCTTCATACAGAATCCTTGTCACCGCTTTCTCGCTATGCAATCAGAGAATGTGTCAACGAGCTGCTCGGCTAAAGCTACTGAATCGTCCTTGAAAGCATCAATGAATGTCTTGACAACATTTATCTCGTGAGCACTGGCTTTTAAGCTATACCAAGTCAGAAACTCCTGTCTGAACTTCTTATCAACATGACCTGAACACTCAAGCTGTCGTATAATCTTCACGCAATCCTCCAACCCAAAGCCACACCTTAACGAACTCTTACCATTGACCGCCTTCTCGGAAACAGTTTCTACTTCTTCTTTGGTGCTTAAGCTATTCACAAAAGCTGCTTCCTCTTCTTCTTCTTCTTCTTCTTGAAGGGATTTCAAAGCAGAAGAGCAAAAATCCTTCACTTTTGGCGCTGAGACAAGTCTGTTTACGTTTCCTCTACACATGGCTGATGGAAGATCAGTAAGAGGACCACACAACTCAGTTTCTAAACTCTTCACAGCTTCCTCCACGGTTTCAGATAGTTTTCTGTACTTCTCCGTGCCATTAAGAAGCTTCTGAGCCAATACAAGACGGTTACAAAGTACGTCTACGCTTCTTGTTTCCTTTGCCATCAACAGTTGCTTCTTCCAACACCTAGGAAGAAAAGAAAGAGAAAATAAAAATCTATCCAAGATTGTAAAAAAGTGTAATTCAAGAAGATTTGATTGGTTGAGATTTTACTCAAGCAAGCTGTTGGTTTTGCCACATGAGACACAGTAGAAACATCCATCAACATCATTATTACTTGGCTTCTCTTCCTTAAGACCTGATTTCTCATGCTTGAAAGCACAATCTAGATGGCACGACAAGCCACAAGATTCACTGGCCAATGGAGGATCAGATTGGCAGGTTAACCAGAGACTAGGATCTTTATTGTCATCATACTTATGGCAGATACAACAAGAACACCTTTGACAAAACAAGTCTTCTTGTCTCAGCATAGCTTGACAAGCCAAGTTCTTACAGTAGATGCTCCCTTTAGCTTTAACTGATTCAGCGCTCAAGCTGGTCTGAGGCACATAGCGAGTAGGAGTAGCGTTCTTCCTTTGTCTTTTTGAGTTTCTCTTAGTTGTTGTTGTTGTTGATGAGTCTCTCTTTCTGTCTTCTTGATCTCTAGAGTTCTCTTTAATTGGCGTTGGAAGTTTTTTCTCTGATACAGTTTTCAAGAGGCTGTTGATGATCTGAGCTTTCGTCAAGTTCTTGTACTTTCTTTCCTTCCCTAACTCTGCGCATAAGACCTGTCGAATCTCATCATGGGTCCACACCTGCAATGCTTCAAAGGCTAAATCCTTATCTTTTGACAGTTCATGAACAAGCTTTCTCTTTTCATCAACACTCATTTTACTGCCTTTCAGGGAGTCACCTGCACCTCATACATGAAGAAAAAGGATGTAAATGTACATTTTAACAATGTATTACATGATTGACCATTGATTCTTCAAGATAGAAACACAAATTAGTCAAAGACTGCTGCATGAATCAGACATATAAGCTAGACGTAGTCATTTACTAAATGTACAATGTGCATTAACAGAAAAAAAAAAAAAAAAAAACTCAAATCTGAAGGTTGATGGAACCAAGACTAGAGTTTAAGAAACTAAAACAACAAGACAAAGCTCACAAACCCATTACTAAGTTGGAAGAATAAGTCAAGCAAGTGAGTACAAGATGGTTCTCTAAGAAACCACATTCATTACTAAGTTCAAAGAACATGTACAGATACAAAGAAAGTTTCATCTTTTATGGTACCATTCATGAAATCAACTTGAACAGTAGTCACAATCATAAAAACTTGGAAACAGATTAGGATGAAAAATCAAGAACACAGTAAAATTAGTAAAAGCATCAATCATCTTCAAGAGTAAGAAAACAAAACAAAAGTTTCAAACTTTCGATTCCACTTGAGTTAAAACCAACGCAGAAACTTCAACGATTCTCAATCATCTTAAAACCCAAGCACACATTTCGACAAATCTTGCCAAGTTCTTGTTTGTGAGAACTAAGAAACCTAAAGAAGAAGTACCATCGAGAGAAGAGTCCATGAAAGAGATAGGATAGGAGGAAGAAAACAAGAAATGTTATTCCACAGACGATAGAATCGAAACGGTCGTCTTGAAGAAGATTCCGCTGATGCTGAGGAGAGGCTGGAGAAGAGACGAGAAGAAAGAGACAAATTAATATTTACTTATAGCGTGGGGCCCAATATTAATTTGCATGTCAACAACGTATTCTTTTATACTTTAAGAAATAAAATTTAATACCTTGATTATCCCTACCTGCTCTAATTATTCAAAAACAAAATAATTTTTTTTAATCATGATTACAATGGTTATCATTTCCATTTTCACGGACTGAAAATTAAATTTTGATATGGATATGGTTTCCATCTCATTGTTTAATCAAAAATCTTAAAACATGGCCTAACATAGTTTTGTTTAATCACTGTTCCTTGAGTTCATTGAAAATACAATATGACAAGCAAGTAGCACAATAACACACAACAGGGAGAGAACAAACAAACAACATGTTTTTAGTTTCTTGAATAGAGAAGAAAGCTTACTGTACAAATGAAGCTCCACAAGAAGAAGAAACCAAACAAAAGACTGACTTCTTCTGGGAAACTGTTTTATCAACCATCAGAAACAAACTCTCAGATTATGTTTCTTCCTTCTTTTCCTGGAACTCTATTCGTCGTCATCAAGTTCAACTATCTGTGCACGTCTCTGAGCAGCTTTCCTTCTGATGAAGAAGCCCCATCTCATAGCCGCTTTGATCTTTAGCCATCCAACAACAGGCTTACCCGACTGTGAACGGTCTTCTTCATAACCAGCCATTGAAGATTGACCAAAAGAGTGGAACCCAAACCCGTCTTCCCCCATGTTCATAGGAGTTTGCGGGCCACCACCACTCATGCTAAAGAGTCTCAACAGCTGTTGCATATCATCGTTCTCCAGCATTTCATTACTTCTTGCCCTTATCTCCTCCTCTGATAAGAACCCATCACCTCCTCTGTTGCCTGTGTTTGACCAGTCACTGAAAGGGTTAACCTCAGGAGGAGGCTGAACCAAGTGTTGGCTTTGACCTAGGGCCAGTCTCCCACCGCCATTGCTATTGATCATGCTTTGTGATTCATGAGCGTTGTTATTAATCAGCTGGTCTTGCGGTGCAAATGAACTGTTTCCAAATTGCATGTAAGAAGTAGTATCAGCTAGCTGAGACTGAGCCGGGAAGGTTGAACCCTGACTCTGGCTGTATACTGATGCTGAAAAAAAAACAAATGAATGACTTGAGGTTAATTATGTTATATAACACACCAAAAGAAAATGATTCAAGATTAGTGGCTAACGGATCTCTTCTACCTTCACCAGAATAAGATGTAGATGGTTGGCTTGGAACAGAAACTGGCATAGAGTAATCTAGAGCCTCCACTTTGTTAACTTGATTGAAGTTCATTAGTGACTTGCTGTCATACTCAATAACTTGATCCCAGTTTTCATATGCTTTCCTCACCAATCCATCCACATAAACCTAAGTTATACATCAACTTGTTAGAAGAGAAAGTCCTAATATATAGACTAAGAAGACTCAACAAACACAAACCTTTTGGTTGTCAGAAAGAGAATCAGCAGGATAATACTGCTTCCCTGAGATAAGACCACTAAACTCGTAAATATTGTTGAAAACAACACCAACCGAGTCCTCAGGATAGTAGACATAAAGCATTTCACTTAAGACACATGTCTTGGAATGCTCTGCAAGTGTCTCCCACATCCTATTTGACATACCACTCCCAAGAATCTGAAAAAAGATATCAGAGTAAGTAATAAGAATCATCATCAGGATAAATACTTCAACATCATGATAAGATACTGCACTTACAGTCCGTAGCTTCTGAGAATCCTTGACCATAAGACGCAGGAACTCTTTAACATTGTAGATTCCTGCTTTGTTCAGTTTCTTATGGAAAGCTCCGTCCTTTCCAATCTTTTCCAACCTCCATACCTCATCATCCAATGCAGGTGGATAATGTTTCTTGTACACTGAAGAGAGTAACCATTAGGCCAAAACAAGAATGCATTCAATGTAATTCCAAAGCAGATAACTTACACTCTCCACGATGGTCCTTGACGGTAAAAGCTTCCGTCTTTGCCTCACGTACACGCATCCCCTCACAGTAACCAGAAGACACCTTTAACCCCAGCCTGAACTTTCTGCATCTTATCCAACTCGAGTTATCTGTAAAGATAAGTTCACCTAATGTCCCCACACCTTCTTTCAACGTCACCTGCAAGTCACCAGTCAAAAGAGGCCTCTTCCCTTGACGCTCTTTCACCAAATGACCTTCAAACTCTTCTTCAGTCCAACCTTCATCGTCTTCATTGTTGAAATCACCGTCAAGCACAACAACATCTAGCTTTGCAGAAGCTTCGGGTCCTACTGTCAATACACGTCCTGTGGCAGTATCTAGAAGTACAACGTGGATGGCAGCGCCTTGCTCCCCTTCTATCTTCCCTCCAGTGAACAAAGGAACAGATAGTCTAGACCTGAATTGCAGCTGCAAGTTCCTTCCACCAATGCCTTCAATACGTTTAGGAGAAGACGACCTGTGAACTCAAAGCATTACTCTTTAACCATTCATCATACCATTTTCCCTAGATATGTTACCTCTCATTAAGTCTTGCAGGGCCTAGTTTCGCCAATGCTCGCTCCACCTCTTCGCTTACCTGTTTGACAAGAGAGTCTCAAGACATTAAATACACACCACAAAGCACCAAAAAGAGATGAGAAAAGGCTTTACCACTCGGCGAAGAATAGGTTCTAAAGAAGAGCAAAGCCTCTGTAAACTATCCATCTTCAGGGCTTCCACAATTACACTGAAAGAACATACACAACTTTCTCAAATTGAACATCTTAACACAACTTCAAGGCACTACTTTTTGAATCAACTGTAAATTATATATCTGATGAATTTAGTTAGAAACGAAACAAAGTAACTGATACAAGTATAAACATGGGTTACCTAGCAAGAGCTGGCCTTTTACGCTCAGGCTGCTGCTGCTGCTGCTGATTGTTATCATCATCTTCCTCAAGTTTTCTCTTTTCTCTCATACTATTAGTCCTCTCCATATACCTCGTATGCATTTTCTCAGCAGCCAAAAAAAACCTCCCACAGTTATCGATCTGTAAGATTCAGACAAGCAATGATACTTCACCAATCTATAAGCAGCTCAGAGAAAGATTCACAAATCACCAAACTCTCAAATCTCAAAACAAATCAAACCAAGATCTCCCCTTTAGCTTCACAAACGTTAAGAGAGAGAGAAACTGAAATTCGATTCGAAGGAGAGAGAAAAAAATTACCTCAGAAATGGTGTTTGGTTTGGATAGAGAGAGAAGATCCAAAGCTGTTCTGTCGTAATTAATTTACTTCAACCACTTGGTGTGTGATTAGTCGAGTGATTTGATTGGTTTTAGTAAATTAGCGATAAGTATCAGGTGCGGGCGAGACCACTGTAGGCTTTTGTATTGCCACCACTTTGTTTTTTGTTAGCCCGGCGGCTACTGTATGTATTTTTAGCACATGCTATATTCTTTTTTTTTAGCACATGCTATATTCTAAAGTTGAGAATATAGAAGTTTAATAACTGTTGTTCAAAAAAAAAAGAAGTTTAATAACTCGAGTTTGTATAAAGACTGATTATTTGATTTTTGTACACGATTATAATAGTGCAAAAGTACAAAACACATCACTATATCACTGAGGATAGGATTTAACATGGTTTATAATATAAGAGTACATCAATATAAAGATCTAATTGCAATGCAGCCAATGCTAAAAGATTAGGTTCATAGATTTCTTTATTTCTGTGTTAACTTTACATAACACCTTTAAACAACAACCATCACTATTTTCATATATTATTCTGATTGGTGTAGCTAACTTTAGTTTTGTTAAGGTTACTGTACCAGCAGTATTTTCATTTTGAAGTACAGACGACATTTTATCCTGATTGTATAATAATTTTCTCTGTTATTTATAGATTTGCGTTCTCGGAGGTTACCAAACATAAAATAATACAAATCAAGACTGCATTTTACTTCAAATGGGTTAATTTTTTAACAGAAAAAGTGCACCAAATATCGATTTTAAATAAAATGAGAAACAGTGTTTCAAAAAAAATAAAATGAGAAACAATACTCCAACACAAGAAAAACAGGGTTTGTAGTATAAAATCTCCACATTAGATCAAACCAAAAGGAACAATACCATCCATAAGATTCAACCAAGTTCCATAATTTCTAAAATTTGTGATTACATTGCAATATTACACGACCATGAAGGGAAGAAGGCATTATCAGTTAACTGAAGAAGAACTCAACATACATTTAGCAAAAGCTTTGGAGATAGTCGAAAAGCCGATCCACTAATCCTTGAGAGAGTTTGTTGAAAACAAACATTACTTTCCCCTGTCAACATTAAAATGAATGATTGTGAATTAGTTAGTTGAACAAGTTGCTACATCATAAAGAGGAAGGACAAAGTAGAGAGTGTGTTAACTTACGTGTTCATCATCAGAGTTATGTTGTCTCCTTTGAGTAAAATCCTCCCTGAAAAAAATAGGCATTCACACGGGTTATTGAGCCATAAGCAAACAAATCAAATGAGATGGAGCCCTTTTATCAGAGAATAAACTCACCAAGTGGTTTCCTGGTGTTCTTCTTGATGCTCACTTCTTCAGCTTCATCCAACACTAGGTTCATGTACTCGTCAAAACCCTGTAAAAAAGAGAAATTGAAACAAGGAATCAACGAGAATGTCATGGTCTCAAGTTTCTCCGAATTAACATAGATATGTGAGAAAAAAAAGTATAGCTACACAAAGTTGAAACAAGGAACATCCTAAGTCAGGTAGGTATAATATTTGAGCCAATGAGGATGACAGCATCATTTATCTCAAGCTTCTGAACTAGCACAGAGTCAATTAAAGACAAGCTTGAATCTCTACCACTCAGAATACTAAAAGTATAGCAATAAAAATGATTTCAAAGGGATATCCAGAGTCAACTAAGCAACTCCAAGTTTTGAACCAATGAGCAACATGCAAAGTAGACACCTCCAAGTTTTAAGCGAATGAGAATGACAACCATACATGCTGAGTTTCTCTGAATGAGCACATAGTCTACAAAAGATTCCATCTTTAACTCAAGAAGAATCAAAGGATAGCAATGATAATAAAATACTGTATCAAAGTGAAAGTAATTAAGTAATAACAATGACACAAGCATCCATTTCACATTTTTCTGAATTAACAACTGTCTCAACCTAAAGAAGAGCCTTAATCTCATCAAGTCATGCTTACTAACATATTCAACATGCTAAGTGAAAACTTACAGTAATCCTTCCTTCAATCCTGAGATCTTTCTGCTCAAATAGCCAAATCTGGATCCTAGCTTTCTGCATCATTTAGAGAGCACCGAATCAGAACCACACAAATCCATGGTTCTGTAATCAAAAATTTAGATAAGGAGCTTACACTTTGAAGAAACCTAAAAATCAAGTTCTGGATCCGCCGCGAAACCACCGGAAAAAAAAAACAAAGCGAAACTCAGTCAAGTAATAGAAAGAGAGTAGTCAAAAGCAAAGAGAGCGTACGATAGGTTGGGTCATAATCCTCTGAACTTTGGTGCTCGCCATCGCTGCCGACGTTTCAATTCTCTCTCCAACGCTTCGGGGAAAAAAGTAGAACTAAACCCTAGAGAGACAGAGGAGAGAGATACGCTGTTTATTACATTTTTATTAAATTTCGTCTGTGGTCCTCGTTCATCTTTAAGATGTAATTGTAGACCCATACAAAATAATACGAATAGTAGACCCAAATTGCAAATTCGTTCTCTCCCAAGAGGGATTATTAGATCAATAATTTGAGAGAATTCAATATTCGAGTATATCTAAGAAAATTTTACATTTTTAGAAGAAAAAAAACTTAAGAATATTTATTACAAGTTTAAGATTTTTAAGGAAATTTTGAAGTTCTTGAAAAAATGTTTTAAATTTTCCATATTTATTTCAAATATATATATATATATATATATATATATATATATATTATTTTTTTTAAACTTACTTAATTTGATGTTTTATCCTTTCATGAAATATATAAAACATAGAAATTTTTTTACAAATCGACTTTCGAAAATAAATATTTTATTTTTCATTTAAAACAGTTTGGTTTTCTTTTAAAAATGAGAAGTGATTTTTTTATTTTTTTTTAAATTTCAAATATCTACATAGGAGGTGTTATTTGAATTCATTGATATTTGTTATAAAATATCATCCAAATCTCACTTCTCATTTTGTAATAAGTAGGAATCTGAAATTTTTTATACAAATGACTAATCTAATAAATTTGGATTTCATATAGTGTTTATAAATGATAGATACAATAAGAGGAAAATTATAAAAAAATAAAATTCTCTCAAATCTTTGATCCAATTAAGATCCCTTCAGTCCTGAATTTTAAAATGATTTGAATAGGTGTGCAACAGATCTTATTCACAGTTCAACAATAGATAACCCTATTAAAGAGGTAGCTACAACACAAACTAGAAGGAGTAACAATTATGAAAAAGGAAAATATTCTAATTCTTTATATATTAATTGAAAAGTATTACAATTTTTGAGTGTAGATACGGTACACCCATCCTTTAAACCTTACACATGCAGTAGGCTAAGATGTTTCCACAAACTGTTTATATTTCATATGAAACCTTTAACACATGAAGTCATATTGTTTTCTTTAACTTATTTCACTTCAACTTTAATTGATGCTTAATTTCAGTGCAGAAGTTGTATGTATATAGTCATATATACTTGCTTATTATTATACACTAGTTGCATATTCCCCGCGGCCGGTATTATTATGTTTGCGTGTATTTTGTTCGATTGTTGGTTTAGTGGATTCTTCTAATGACACCAATTAATAATGAAATGAAAAATTTCATGTTTTTATATCGTATGTCAAAACTTGATACAATTCTATATTTATAGTATTTATATTTGTATTAAACGAATTATCAATATGAAAATAACCTTAATTAAGTTAATATTCGTTGTTTAAGTTTCATTAGATAGGTTTTTATATATGGTTTTTTGTAAGTTTGGGTTTTGTTCATAAATGATGTGGCATTTTTATCTACGGAGTCATCGACTGTGGGAATTCATTCGCTGAAGTCTGGAGTCGGTGGTGAGAAATGTTTTCAATGAAATTATAGTAGTTATTAAAATGTAAGAGAAATTACATATCCGTTTAATAAATAACTTACTTAAATTTTGTTGTTTATTTTATTTTATTTGACATACAATTTTTTTGAAAAATATTAGGAATGTGTTAAATGTTATTTATATGCGAAGTAAGGTTTATAGGAATAGTTAGGCTATAATATAGTTTTTAGTGTGTAAAAGTAGGTGTTTTTTTTTGTTGTAAATAGTTTTTATATCGTAGATCAAAACTTGATATAATTCTATATTTATAGTATTTATATTTGTATTAAACGATTTATCAATTTGAAAATAACCTTAATTAAGTTAATATTCGTTGTTTAAGTTTCATTAGATAGGCTTTTATATATGGTTTTTTGAGAGTTTGAGTTTTGTTCATAAATAATGTGGCATTTTTATCTACGGCGACATTGACTGTGGGAATCCATTCGCCGGAGTCTGGAATCGGTGGTGAGGAATGTTTTCAAGGAAATTATAGTAGTTATTAAAATGTAAGAGAAATTATATATTCATTTAATAAATAACGAAAATAATTAATTTTTGTTGTTTTATTTTATTTTATCTCACATACAAATTTTTTGAAAATATATATTAGGAAATATGTGCAATGATTTAA